GACTTTATTGATGTCTGAATTCACTCAAGATAAACATCAGGTAAAGACTTACAGGGGATGATGTACCCTTAGGAAAAGCAATTGCTCTCAATTTGGCTACAGTGTTTCCTCACCCTTAGTGTCTGTATCCATCCACTTTATTTATTTAAATAACAAGATATCTTGGCCACTAGAGCATTTTTATCTAAAGAAAACTTTAAAATTTTATGTTGTTCCTAGACTTTTTTAGTAAATGAGATCTTCACTACTTTAAAAATTTGACCATTTTCATCTTTTTCTTCATCATTTAGAAGTGTCAGCTTGCATACAAAGTAAATTATATTCCTTGTACTAGTCCCATTAAATGACTGAGCTTCTATCCAGCCAATGTCTTTCTTACCTCCCAACAGCCTAGCCTCTCCTGATAACTCTAAATCCACTAAGAATATTTGCTTACAATCAGTCATTGTTATTATTGCTGAAGACAGAAAACTGGAAAGTATCCTCAGTTATTGTTACAAGAGACATTTTTGTTAAAAGTCCCTGCATTACCCTTAACTCACATGGTAAATTTACTTCTCAGAAATTATTTTTCTACTTGGTGTAATCATGATTACACCTCCTATACCTCAAGGGGTATAAGTAAACAGGAAAATAAGAACCACATTAAAAATTATGTAGGATCAAAATTGTACTTAGACTTTATTATCATCTTTTTATCAGTGTGAATCATTGTGTACACATCTAGCATCTAGTGAAGAACCATAGTTGACCATGTATTTTTGTTATTTCATGTCCATGTATAGCTTCAAATTTATAGGAAGAAAATATTGGTTCTCAGAGTTTAAATTTTATCTGAGAAGAGAGACACATAGAAAGCTGTATAAAATATACATGAAATACTTCTATATATGTAAGATGACAGGATAAAAGGAAGCATATTATGCCACTGTGTATATTGTACCAGAATGCCAATTAGAACAGCAATAAGAATTGGGGGTTTATGAACGAGAAAGGGTCTGGGGTGAGATTTTGACGAAAGGGTAGATATGGACTTAGAGGAAAGAGTGTTGAAGTTATTCCTGCAAGTGGTATTTTTTGCAGAGCTTTTATTTCCAGGAGCTAAATCCACATTTACTCTTTTTCTGAAGAATTTTGTAGGAGATTTTGTAGCGTGTTGGCATAGAGTTGATTTTATTTTAATGCTCAAGAATATGTAGACAGTCAAGTGTACTATATTCAGAAATAGGAAATGAGAGAGAATAATGTGAAGAGATAATCATCTCCAGTCTCAGTTCAGTCTTGGCATTTTTCCATCACTCTATTCAACAGAAATATTTTACTTTCTGTAGGAGATAATAAGACATTTAATATATGGATACTGACCTTAAGGAACTTACAATTGATATTAGAGGTTTGGGCACCTAAGTGACAAGTTAAACAATACACAGTAGTTACTTAGACATACTAGAAATGTCACAGTGTAGTGGCTGATAAATATAAAAATTATTAGTGCTGACAAGTCCTAGTATAGTTCATAGGAGGTAGAATCTTTGGGAGCTGGCTTGGAGAAAAATGGCTTCATGAGTGAGATGTAACTAGAATCATTTCAGCTAATCCAACTAGATGAATCCCTTCTACCACATCACTAATAAATGTTTCTTCTTTTTTTGTCCTCTCTACTAATAATAAAATTCACTTTCATGACACACCCTGTTTCAAGTCCTTAAAGAGAATATTCTCTTCATGCTCAGCCCCAAATTAACCTCCTTATTAAGTCTGACGGTGCTACCCAGAGCTCCCTAGGCCCTGTGCCCGTCATTCTCAGGTGCCCCCGTGTACTAGAGACGTGCTCTCTTCTCTTGGCAGCCCTAGCTGTCTTGCAGGGGCTCAAGCAGCCACAACACCAGGATGACGGCATGAGAAACCTCCTGTGTTTACCCCAGGGCAATAAATATTGTCACCTTACTGACACTCTGCTGTGATAGTGACTGTGAAGTACTACTCAGGGTAGCATAGTGCTGAAGAGATCCAAGTTCTGGAATCAGATAGACCCAAGTTAGAATTTTGGCTCTACCAGTTATTTATTACTTCTAATATCTTTGAAAAGAAACATTTTCAATCCTCAATTTCTACATGTAAATGGGTGTCATAATAATGACTTCCTATGGCATTTTTGTAAGAATTAAAGATAACCCATTAGGACTAATAAATGCTTTTATTGTCATTGGTTCTGCTTTCCCCCCTTTTAACCATGATATAGAATTCTTATTCACAAACATCTAATTATTTAAAGTTAGTTTTTGTTTCCTCTAAGTCTCCTCCTCCAGCTAGATATCCCAAGTTCCTTCAGTGTCTCCTCATCCAACCTGAGTTCAAGTTTCTTCAACTTCTCAGTTGCTCTCTTCTGGACAACATACAGTGTCTTTGAGCTCCCTTTCAAATATACAGTATTAATACTAAGAATGTACCCCAGCAAATGTGGCTTGATGAGCTAATCCTTGAAAGGTGGAGGAAATAGGGGAATGAAAAAAGGATATTCTCACTGGAGAACAGTGTAATTAGTGAGCAAAGGAGAAGAAGCCATAATAGATACATCATGTTGAACAACACATGGGCTTAACTAGCTAAAAGAGAGTCATAGTGAGACAAGAGTTAAAAGCAGCTGTATTATGACATCCCTGGAACTATGAAACTATGAACTCTATCAATATAAAGGAAAACCAAAGCCATTCTCAGGTGGCTCAGTGATAAAGAATCTGCCTGCTGATACAGGAGACACAAAAGATACGGGTTTGATCCTTGGATTGGGAAGATCGCATAGGGCAGGAAATCGCAACCCACTCCAATATTCTTGCCTGGAAAATTTCATGGACAGAGGAGCCTGGTGGGCTACAGTTCATAGGGTCAGACATGACTGAGCACACACACTACACTACACGAAAGGAAAATCAACTAAGGCATCATTATAGGAGACTGATCTATTACTCAAAAGCAACCACAAAATTCATGTGAGTTACCCACAAGCAGCGAAATGTTTTAAAATATAATTCTTCTCTTGTTCCCCTTAGATAAAACAATCAGTAACCCTAGAGTCACCCCAAAGGAGATGCTGAAAACTTAGAGACAATCCACAAACCAGTTTTTCTATTTGGCTATTGGCTACTGCAGTCAGCTCTGGTAAGAAAGAGGTTGTTGACTCAAAGAAGTTACTTTGTCCTGCCTTGGGAACCACATCTCAGGAGCTTTAATCTCCGGATTCCCTTTATTCCTAATCCTTTGTCTTCCAGGCTTCTGTTTGTTTATTTGTTTGTTTTTTCCCATTCATTCAATTTGCATAATGCTTAGGCTTTTTTGGGGTTGTGCCATCTCCTTAAGGATTAGCTGTATGACTTTGGGCAAATTACTCAACTTCTCTGTAATTCAGTTTTGTCTTTTGTAAAAATCCACTTCTGCAAAAGAGGATTTTTACAGAACTTTAAAGATTAACTGTGACCATTAACTGAGTTATATCAGTAGTGTTTAGAAGATAGCCTGACAATAGTGACTGGTTTGTATGTTAACTATTGTTATTTTGGGTCATTATTATTGACTGGAAAAATTCAGTTTTCATTCCAATGTCAAGGCTGCATATTGTCTCCTTGCTTATTTAACTTATATGCAGAATACATGAGAAATTCTCGACTGGATGAAGCACAAGCTGGAATCAAGATTTCTGGGAGAAATATCATTAACCTCAGATAGGCAGATGACAGCACACTTATGGCAGAAAGCAAAGAAAAACTAAAGAGCCTCTTCATGAAAGTGAAAGAGGAGAGTGAAAAAGTTGGCTTAAAACTCAACATTCAGAAAACTAAGATCATGGCATCTGGTCCAATCACTTCATGGCAAATAGATGGAGTAACAATGGAAACAGTGACAGACTTTATTTTTGGGGGCTTCACAATCACTGCAGATGGTGACTACAGACATGAAATTAAAAGATGCTTGCTCCTTGGAAGGAAAGCTATGACCAACCTAGACAGAATATTAAAAGGCAGAGACATTACTTTGCCAACAAAGGTCCATCTAGTCAAAGCTATGGGTTTTCCAGTAGTCATGTATGGATGTGAGAGTTGGACTGTAAAGAAAGCTGAGTGCCGAAAAATTGATGCTTTTGAACTGTGGTGTTGGAGAAGACTCTTGAGAGTCCCTTGGAAAGCAAGGAGATCCAACCAGTCTATTCTAAAGGAAATCAGTCCTGAATATTCATTGGAAGGACTATTGCTGAAGCTGAAACTCTAATACTTTGGCCACCTGATGAAAAGAACTGACTCACCAGAAAAGACCCTGATGCTGGGAAAGAATGAAAGCGGGAGGAGAAGGGGACGACAGAGGATGAGATGGTTGGATGGCATCACCAACTGGATGGACATGCTTTTGAGTAAACTCTGGGAGTTGGTGATGGACAGGGAAGCCTGGTGTGCTGCAGTCCATGGCGTCACAAAGAATCAGACATGCCTGAGAGACTGAACAGAACTGATTATTCAGACACTCTGCTAGGCACAGGGGAAGCAGAAATCAACAGGACAATCCCTTGCCTTCAATGGTCACATTTCTCCAGATTTTGTGGGCAAAGCAATGACTTTGGAAACAGATTTTTGAGCACGTTATTAGAGATCACTTACTGTCTGTTTTACCTTGGATGAGGTCTTAATTCCCCTGAGCGTCTTTCTTCATTTGTAAAATGAGAATTAATAAAATCTTGGAGGATTTGTTAATGACTTTTAAACAAAACGAAATATGCATACTGCCTGGCACACAGTTGTAACTATACACTCAGAATACTCAAACATTCCCTCATAACACGGAGACTAGAGGACCTTACTCTGAGTTTAGGAGCCATTGATTTGAGTTTAGGGGCCAGTGATTTCAGCGAGAGAGAGAGACAGAGACAGAGAGAGAGAGACAGAGAGATAGAGACAGAGAGAGAGAGACAGAGGAGGGAGGCCGGTCGGCCGACCCAGACTACATCTCCCGGGATGCTCAGCAAGAGGGGGAGCCCCGCCCAGCCCCGCCCCGCGGGTACCGCAGGCGCTGCCCACCCCAAGAAGCGGGCGGCGCGCAGAGGCTACAAGTGCTGCGGTTGGTGAGCGGGGTACTTTCCTGAGGAGCAGCTCAGGGACTAGCGCGCGGTGCTCTAGGCTCACTGGGTGGCCAAAGCAGGAGGTGAGTGGCGGAGAGTGGGACTGGGAGGAGGCGCTGGAGCGCGCGAGAGACCCCGAGAGCCTGGCGGAGCTGGGGAGCGCGTCCCCCGTCCCTGCCTAAGGTGCCTGCCTAGCCTTTGGGTATTTGGCGAACGCATCCCAACTCCGGGCACCACGGCGGACGCGGAGCTCACCCGGAATGGGTTGATTGAGTCCGTGGGGAACATCGATCGCTGCCCGGTGCTTGCGGCGCGCCCTTACAGCACACAGCGCGCGCAGGACGGATCCCGAGGTCGCCTCCGCTAGACCAGCCTCGCCCGTGTCAGTTAGTTCCCATTCAGATATTAATGCTTTTAATTGCTGGCGGGCTGACGAGGGAAAGTGCTGTCTCCGCGTTCTGCGGCTGCAGTTTTATTAACCGCGCTCTTAAACCAGAGAGGAAAGAGGGAGGAGGCTGAAGGAAAGAGCCCTTGGCTGGTCCCCTGGGATTATCCATTCTCCCCTGAGAATGGAAGCCCCGGATTACCGAGCTGCAGAGGAAATCGACTGTGCAGCTTGTTCCGATGGAACAATCGGAGTCTCTCTTTTAAGAGACAGAGGCAGAAGAAGGGAATTAAGTGGAGATCTCTCTCTCTCTCTCTCTTTGTTATAAATTGGAAGTCCCCTAAGGGGCTTTGCCGATTTTTATCTAAAGTAATCCAATTTGATGGGCTAATTGTGCCAAAGGTTAATCAGAGCACCTAATGTTTGAGGGAACTGCGAGATTTCTCATTTCAGTAATCGATCAAACCCGTTACCATTGCTTCCTTCACTGAGGGATCCCGCAGTGGAGGCGGGGGTGTCTATGCACTTACTAAAGGAAAGCTCTGGTTCAGTTGTGGTTTTCCTGCATCTGATTTTTTGTTAATTTTCCTGTTTTAGCTGCAAAGAAACTCTGATAATAGGATAAGTGTGTGTGTGTGTGTGTGTGTGTGTTTTAAACAAACTCTAATGTAGAGCATAAAACATGTGGATTTCCCCTCTCATATTTTCAATGAGTAGCCAGGTGGACTTCCCCTTCACCTTACCTGCGTTTCTGTGTAGGTTACCAGCCGTTGGAGCTGTGGATTTTGAAGCATAATAAACCTCTAAAACATGAGTTAAATCTGTTATTATCCTGGACTTGGAAGCAAAATAAAAGGGAACTTTACTTGAAACCTCTGTACTTGCTGATAGTAGAAAGTAAATTTTTATTCCGCAGAAAGATGGCAGAGGCAGAAAAGGACAGGCAAGTGGTTTTCTGCTCAACCCAAAATTTTCTCCCATGAAGGTGCCTTGCTGTGGTGAGGTAGGGCAAAGTTCCAGAGGTAACCCTGGAAACGGTTTCTCCCCTATTGGCCTCAACAGAGCTGTGACTGTGGGTTTATGATTTGTATTTTATTGTCAGTTTACTTCTAGACTGGGGTTTGTGAAAACTTCTAGACGGTTGATTTCCTATACACATTTGTTAGCAAAGTGTGCAGAGGGAGAGGAACTCATACTCACTCAGACCTGGAGTGCAGGGGTAGCAGACCTTTACCTGAAGCAGGCAACTCTGTGTGTGTGTGTGTGTGTGTGTGTGTGTAGGAGTGGGCTAGCTCATTGTATTTTTCAGAGATCACCCTATGAGGTGTGTGTCTATGTACTTTTGGGTCTAGAACATGCTGCCATCGTGTAGCAGTAAGCTGAGAATGGAATCACAATGAACAGGGCTGTGTGATTAGGGTCTCTGGGTGTACAAAGTGTACCGTTAGGAGGGTGGCTTAATCAAGTCAGCCATCTTTCACCCACTTCAGAGCCACCCAGTCAAAATGCTGAGCTCCAGTAGAACCCAACTGCTGGTGACATATTGATTGGCTCACCCAAGGTGATGCTCTAACAATGCTAATCTGTATTAGAATCTGTTCTGAACTACAGAGAGTGTAAACACTTACAATTTAACCAAATTATTGAGAAGTCTCTGCTTCCCCAAGTTCTTCAGAAGATCGGCAGCACTGCTGAAAAAGGTCCTGCTTTTCCCATTTGTATCTCTGTGCAGGAAACCTGCCTTCTCGTTTGAGGGGTCCTGTCACCGAAATGTGTGATCCTTGGATAAATTTGGCTTGTTGACGGCAGTGCTTTCTTCCCAGACACTGCCACTTCCTCCGTGTTCTTTTTTACCCTGACCTAAGTCTTGCCTTTTTCACACTTTCCCACTGCTAGGTAGCTTCTCCTTTCTCTTACCTATTTTAGGAGGAATTGGGGCTGAAGTGTCAAAACCTGTAGCTACAAAGGAGAAGAGGGCCTCAGGAGCAGTACTCCTGGTGGTCCGGTTTTAGCTCCTGGTGGGTTTTATCTAACTGTGTTGCTATTGGCAGACTCTCTGGAAGCTGCTGGGGGATGTCTCACTAGCCCGAATGGAGCTCCACTACCTTGTTAAGAAGAGCAGCCAGGCAGCCCCGTGTGATGCTGCTGACTGGAGTTCAAGGGGGCCTCCGGGGGACCAGGCAGATGCAGCAGCCACCAGAGCTGCTCTCTGCTGCCAGAGACGTTGTACCTCGAAGCCTAGAGCACTGGAGACGGAAGCACCTCAACTGAGTCCTTCCCCAGCATCCCCTCCCCCCTCACTGCAAGACAGTGCTATTCACACAGACTCGTTGCCACCAGGAGCTCTCAACTCAGGGAGCAACCAGATAACAGCAGAACAGAAAGTCTGCAACTGCTGCAGCCAGGAATTAGAAACCTCTTTTACCTACGTGGACGAGAATGTCAACCTGGAGCAAAGGAACAGACACTCCCCTTCAGCAAAAAGGAGTGATCACCTGGGAGACCTCGGCTGGGGAAATCCAAATGAATGGTCCCACGAGTCTGCCATCTCCCTGATTTCCGAAGATGAAGATGATACCAGCTCGGAAGCCACCTCTTCAGGGAAGTCAGTAGACTATGGTTTCATAAGCGCCATCTTGTTCTTGGTCACTGGCATCTTGCTGGTGATCATCTCGTACGTTGTCCCACGGGATGTGACCGTGGATCCTAACACTGTGGCGGCCCGGGAGATGGAACGCCTGGAGAAGGAGAGCGCGAGGCTGGGGGCTCACCTGGACCGCTGTGTGATTGCCGGGCTCTGCCTCCTCACACTTGGAGGGGTCGTTCTGTCCTGCTTGCTGATGATGTCTATGTGGAAGGGGGAGCTATACCGTCGTGACAGGTTTGCCTCCTCCAAAGAGTCTGCGAAACTCTACGGTTCCTTCAACTTCAGGATGAAAACTGGCACTAATGAAAACACCCTGGAACTGTCACTGGTGGAGGAAGATGCTCTCACTGTACAGAGTTAATTCTGGTTGTGAACTTCTTGAGAGTCTGCCTTGGTATTTTATATGAACAAAACAAAGCAAAACACATTCCTTAAAATTACTAGTGCAGTTTATTTGCCTGGCAAGAAAAGTTTGTTTCCCAAACCAACAGCCAGTGAGAGTTTTTGCTCTTGTATTTTTTATTTAGAAGAAAAGCCATGTAAGACGCATTAAGAAATCACAGCCAGCTACACTGGTCCTTCTAAAGAGCTGAGACTAATTAATCTGTAATGGCCACCTGTTTCTTCTATTAATACTTCTATAGCAAAACATTTCTAACAATTCAGTGTTCAAATTATTTCTTTTACATGATACGGGATATTTTTCTTTAGACACTAGAAGGTATAGAATCAATTAGTAACTGTTTTGTGAAAAAGAATGTAAGCACTAATCACATAAGGCTTACATTTAATTCTCAAAGGTGCTTATCCATTTTCTTACTCAACTTATTCTTTCTGTAATTTGGCTAAACATTAAAATATGGGGTTTTGAATTTGAATATTCTGAAGCTTGAAGATACTGACTATTAAAAAATGCAAAAACACATATGTTATACTCAAAATTATTCCTGTACTCAGAAGTGGTAATTAAGTCATTAGAATAAACTTTCTAATAAAATTATATAAATCAGCCAATCTGAATTTAACCCAGAATGGTAGTGCCAGATATTAGCCAGTGTCACATGCCTGTTTTCTAGATAAGTAAAATTAATTGCTGATATAAACCTCATTTTCTGTTTGTGATTTAGCCATCATATATGTTACACATGCTGAAGTCTTTCCTGGTTCTCACTCCAGAGAGGTAAGCGTAAGATGTTTTTATCCTATTTTATCCTATTTCCAGATACCTACACATCTAGGCAGATTGAGTCATAATCGGCTCAGGCACACTCCCAGGTTATTGTTGTTTGGAGAAAACCTCCAATACAAGTGCAGCTAGACTCAGGGGGACGGTGCCTAGAAACTGGTATCACTTGTTCTAGGTCAAGTAACAAGTCGTTGCCCCAGGATGGCAGCAGTCCTCAAGCTCACACCCAAAAAAATAAAAAACTAAAATGAGATGAGAGAGACTGAACACACTGAATCCATGGGAAATGTACTTCTCACCCAAACTTACTTCCTGCTAACAATCATCTAAGGCATCATTCAGAGCACCTTATATCCAGGCTCTCATACCTGTGAGATCTTGCCTCATAAATTCAGACTTACTTTATTAGAAGCACCATAAGCAAAACAGTAACCAGTTTGCAAAACACACACCTAGAATCCCTGCTAACTCAGTGTCTCTATGGGTTATGGTTTAAGAAGGGGATGAAGAATGCAGCCTCAGAAATATCTTGCATTTTACAGCTCTTCTTCGAGGTGTTTTCATCCTCCCACTTCAAGAGTAGTTTTAGTTTCAGTTACTGTGTTACCAGGGTTGTTTCGGCCATTCTTAAAGAGGATTAGAGCTGGGAATCAGGGTGGAGAGCAGGGGAGGGGAAGTGAGAAAGTGATTTCTTTGTAGATTCTAAAGCCTGATTCTAATGTCTGAAGTTTTTGTTGTTATTGAAGACTGTGGAGTACGTGGGTGACTCTGGCTAGCAGAGTGTATGAGTCAGGATATTTATGTGAATGAGCTCTTGTGGGTGTCAGGTTGATTTGATGAATTCGGTACACTTTGTTGGTAAGGGTTAAAGTGAAATGCAAAAGAGAAGATCAGAGAATAATAAAAATAGTGAGGACAGATGTGTGAAAGAATTATTAGGTTAAAATGGTAAATTATATGGATCTCAGAAGAAGCTAGATGTAACTGGATTACCTTATCCTTTATAAGAGACCATTACTGATTTGGGAATAATTGGGATAATACAGACATGATTTCTGTTTCCTATAGCTGCTTCTTTGTGCTTTTTGAAGAAATTTTGTTTTACCGTGACTCAAGTGTTGAGGCCAGCTTTTCCCAGCAGTATAAATT